TGTCTGTACGTACACTGTACGACCGCCCACGTGCAAATCAAACGAGAAATATGAATTTAGGTAACAACCAAAAGGTTCCATAGCAACGGTGTTTTAATGCACACATGCACGTGCAAAGATTGTTTTAACGTCATTTTGATCGGTTTTGTGGTAATTACGTTGTGTTTAAAGTGTTTTATATTTAAATCGGCTGTATCTTCGGTCGGGATGGATCTTTTTTGATGCGATTAAAACTTTCTTTCAAAGAATACTGTACTAGCTTCGTCCCTGTTACCACGGGCTTTCTAGTTTGTTATAATACCTTCCGGGAATTAGCGTGCTACCCGAGCCTTTGCGACAATCAGAGACTTTTTTATATTTAAGTAGCCAAATAATAATTGTGACTTCTGATTCTCCTTGAGTCCTGGAAATATTGACCTCTTATTTGGACAATAGCCGGACACTGTCCTAGAAAATGTGAGACAGTTTCCTCTCCGTCGCCGCACATGGGACAAGCACTGGTGCTTAAGATTTGCGGATGTTGTGAAGGTGTGTGTTCAAGCCACAATGACCTGTGCACTGCAATTCTGTAATTTTGTCTGTTGTTGCTGAGTGTAGTGTTGAGATTTTTTATGATGTTGATGTTTTTGTGGCCGAGTGTCAGTTAAGTGTGTCTGGGTCCATCAGCTAACCAGGTTTCCTGGTTAAGTCTAGAGACTTTGTCGTCAATCAGGCGTTTGATGTAAGATTGTGGAATAGGGCAATTCAAAGTGGATTCACTGGTTGTACCAATTTTGGCAAGCTCATCTGCTTTTACATTAGCCCACAATCCGATACATGTGCAGCTATCCATCGGATCTCTAGAGTGTTGTTCGATCCGAGTGCATTGAGGGTGTCATAACAGTCTCTAGTAGTTCTACTCCTCGTTGAGATCGAGAATATAGCTTGTATGGATGAGAGACTGTCAGACCATATGATGATGTGTGTGTTGTTGTAAGTTGAGAGATATTTGCAAGCTTCGATGATGGCAGTGAGCTCTGTTTGGTAAACAGTGCAGTGATCAGGTATCTTTCCGTTTTGTATGTGTATTTAGTTCAATCTGTAAACCATTGACATTAGGGCCCATTAAAACTAGCATCACTACAGGAATGTCAAAACAACTTTAACCAACTAGTAGCCAATATTGGTCTTATATTTGTGACAGTAGGATATCGTTCAAATATAACCTAAGCCAAATAAGGGCCACTTTAGACCCCTCCCCCGTTATTGCTGGTCCTTTACTGTCACCAGCATGACGTAAACCAACATTGAACAAATTTTAATACTGGACCAATGTTGGTGACATTAAATTTGGCAACATTAATATGACGTAATACTAATTATGGACCATGTTGTTGCAAGTATTCATGTTCAGTAGATTATAACGTTCTGTATGTGTATTTAGTTCTATCTGTGAACCAGTAATATTAGGGCCCATTAAAACTAGCATCACTACAGGGTCTTCAAAACAACTTTAACCAACTAGTAGCCAATATTGGTCTTATATTTGTGACAGTAGGATATCGTTCAAATATAACCTAAGCCAAATAAGGGCCACTTTAGACCCCTCCCCCGTTATTGCTGGTCCTTTACTGTCACCAGCATGACGTAAACCAACATTGAACAAATTTTAATACTGGACCAATGTTGGTGACATTAATATGACGTAATACTAATTATGGACCATGTTGTTGCAAGTATTCATGTTCAGTAGATTATAACGATGTGTATTTAGTTCTATCTGTGAACCAGTAATATTAGGGCCCATTAAAACTAGCATCACTACAGGGTCTTCAAAACAACTTTAACCAACTAGTAGCCAATATTGGTCTAATGTTGGTGACAGTAAGAGATCTAATTGTTGCAATTATTCATGTTAAAAGTATTCATGTTCAGTAGATTATAACGCTCACAATCTCTAACCTGATCCCGTAGAACTAGAAGGGCCAGAAGAGGTTAACTGCTGTTCACTTGGAGAACCGTGTTTTCTTCCAGCTGTACCACCTGGAACGAAATATTCTATTTAGGAGCCATATAATTGTGACTTCTGATTCGCGTTAATTTAAATGTCGATAAATACGCCTTGATTACTGATTAATGTTGTCAGAAAATTTCATTCTTTCATTTTGTATGTATGTTTTAGTTCGATCTGTGAACCAGTGATATTAACATCACTACAGGATTGTCAAAACAACTTTCACCAAATTATAGCCAATATTTGTCAAAAGTTGGTCACAGTAAGAGATCGTTCAAATATAACCTTCAGATGATGCAGAATCTGATGAGGGTTTACCTGATGAGGCTTCAGTTGATGGAAAACAGCCGATACATGGTAATTCTGATGTTACTTCGGAGGAAATCGATTCTGTAGTTTCCTCTGTAGATGCAGGCTCTATGGGCTCACTTGGAGAACCGTATTTTATTCCAGCTGTACCACCTGGAACGTAATTTTCTATTTAGGAGCCATATAATTGTGACTTCTGATTCGCGTTAATTTAAATGTCGATAAATACGCCTTGATTACTGATTAATGTTGTCAGAAAATTTCATTCTTTCATTTTGTATGTATGTTTTAGTTCGATCTGTGAACCAGTGATATTAACATCACTACAGGATTGTCAAAACAACTTTCACCAAATTATAGCCAATATTTGTCAAAAGTTGGTCACAGTAAGAGATCGTTCAAATATAACCTTCAGATGATGCAGACTCTGATGAGGGTTTACCTGATGAGGCTTCAGTTGATGGAAAACAGCCGATACATGGTAATTCTGATGTTACTTCGGAGGAAATCGATTCTGTAGTTTCCTCTGTAGATGCAGGCTCTATGGGCTCACTTGGAGAACCGTATTTTATTCCAGCTGTACCACCTGGAACGTAATTTTCTATTTAGGAGCCATATAATTGTGACTTCTGATTCGCGTTAATTTAAATGTCGATAAATACGCCTTGATTATTGATTAATGTTGTCAGAAAATTTCATTCTTTCATTTTGTATGTATGTTTTAGTTCGATCTGTGAACCAGTGATATTAACATCACTACAGGATTGTCAAAACAACTTTCACCAAATTATAGCCAATATTTGTCAAAAGTTGGTCACAGTAAGAGATCGTTCAAATATAACCTTCAGATGATGCAGAATCTGATGAGGGTTTACCTGATGAGGCTTCAGTTGATGGAAAACAGCCGATACATGGTAATTCTGATGTTACTTCGGAGGAAATCGATTCTGTAGGTTCCTCTGTAGATGCAGGCTCTATGGGCTCACTTGGAGAACCGTATTTTATTCCAGCTGTACCACCTGGAACGTAATTTTCTATTTAGGAGCCATATAATTGTGACTTCTGATTCGCGTTAATTTAAATGTCGATAAATACGCCTTGATTACTGATTAATGTTGTCAGAAAATTTCATTCTTTCATTTTGTATGTATGTTTTAGTTCGATCTGTGAACCAGTGATATTAACATCACTACAGGATTGTCAAAACAACTTTCACCAAATTATAGCCAATATTTGTCAAAAGTTGGTCACAGTAAGAGATCGTTCAAATATAACCTTCAGATGATGCAGACTCTGATGAGGGTTTACCTGATGAGGCTTCAGTTGATGGAAAACAGCCGATACATGGTAATTCTGATGTTACTTCGGAGGAAATCGATTCTGTAGTTTCCTCTGTAGATGCAGGCTCTATGGGCTCACTTGGAGAACCGTATTTTATTCCAGCTGTACCACCTGGAACGTAATTTTCTATTTAGGAGCCATATAATTGTGACTTCTGATTCGCGTTAATTTAAATGTCGATAAATACGCCTTGATTACTGATTAATGTTGTCAGAAAATTTCATTCTTTCATTTTGTATGTATGTTTTAGTTCGATCTGTGAACCAGTGATATTAACATCACTACAGGATTGTCAAAACAACTTTCACCAAATTATAGCCAATATTTGTCAAAAGTTGGTCACAGTAAGAGATCGTTCAAATATAACCTTCAGATGATGCAGAATCTGATGAGGGTTTACCTGATGAGGCTTCAGTTGATGAAAAACAGTTTCCGATACATGGTAATTCTGATGTTACTTCGGAGGAAATCGATTCTGTAGTTTCCTCTGTGGATGCAGGCTTTATGGACTCTGTGGATGCAGGCTTTATGGACTCTGTGGATGCAGGCTCTATGGGCTCTGTGGATGCAGGCTCTGTGGGCTCTGTGGATGCAGGCTCTATGGGCTCTGTGGATGCAGGCTCTATGGGCTCTGTGGATGCAGGCTTTATGGACTCTGTGGATGCAGGCTCTATGGGCTTTGTGGATGCAGGCTCTATGGGCTCTGTGGATGCAGGCTCTATGGGCTCTGTGAATGCAGGCTCTATGGGCTCTGTGGATGCAGGCTCTATGGGCTCTGTGGATGCAGGCTCTATGGGCTCTGTGGATGCAGGCTCTATGGGCTCTGTGGATGCAGGCTCTATGGGCTCTGTGGATGCAGGCTCTATGGGCTCTGTGGATGCAGGCTTTATGGACTCTGTGGATGCAGGCTCTATGGGCTTTGTGGATGCAGGCTCTATGGGCTCTGTGGATGCAGGCTCTATGGGCTCTGTGGATGCAGGCTCTATGGGCTCTGTGGATGCAAGCTCTATGGGCTCTGTGGATGCAGGCTCTATGGGCTCTGTGGATGCAGGCTCTATGGGCTCTGTGAATGCAGGCTCTATGGGCTCTGTGGATGCAAGCTCTATGGGCTCTGTGGATGCAGGCTCTATGGGCTCTGTGGATGCAGGCTCTATGGGCTCTGTGGATGCAGGCTCTATGGGCTCTGTGGATGCAGGCTCTATGGGCTTTGTGGATGCAGGCTCTATGGGCTCTGTGGATGCAGGCTCTATGGGCTCTGTGGATGCAGGCTCTATGGGCTCTGTGGATGCAGGCTCTATGGGCTCTGTGGATGCAGGCTCTATGGGCTCTGTGGATGCAGGCTCTATGGGCTCTGTGAATGCAGGCTCTATGGGCTCTGTGGATGCAGGCTCTATGGGCTCTGTGGATGCAGGCTCTATGGGCTTTGTGGATGCAGGCTCTATGGGCTCTGTGGATGCAGGCTCTATGGGCTCTGTGGATGCAGGCTCTATGGGCTCTGTGGATGCAGGCTCTATGGGCTCTGTGGATGCAGGCTCTATGGGCTTTGTGGATGCAGGCTCTATGGGCTCTGTGGATGCAGGCTCTATGGGCTCTGTGGATGCAGGCTCTATGGGCTCTGTGGATGCAGGCTCTATGGGCTTTGTGGATGCAGGCTCTATGGGCTCTGTGGATGCAGGCTCTATGGGCTCTGTGGATGCAGGCTCTATGGGCTCTGTGGATGCAGGCTCTATGGGCTCTGTGAATGCAGGCTCTATGGGCTCTGTGAATGCAGGCTCTATGGGCTCTGTGGATGCAGGCTCTATGGGCTCTGTGGATGTACGCTCTGTGGATGCAAGCTCTGTTGGTGGTGAAGATCTATCCGGATTAAAAACCAACCAGCCTTTTCTTCCAGTTGTACCACCTGGAACGAAATTTTCTATTTAGTAGCCATATAATTGTGACTTCTGATTCGCCTTAAGTTCAATTTCAATAAACACGCCTTGATGAGTGTAGCTAGAAAATTACATCTTTATTCCGTTTTGTACGTATGTTTTAGTTCGATATGTGAACCAGTGATATTAGGGCCCATTAAAACTGGCATCAATACAGGGTCATCAAAACAGCTTAAACCAACTAGTAGCCAATATTGGTCTAATGTTGGTGACAGTAAGAGATCTAATTGTTGCAATTATTCATGTTGAAAGTATTCATGTTCAGTATAAGTAGATTATAACGCTCACAATTTCTAACCTGATCCCGTGGAACTAGAAGGGCCAGAAGAGGTTAACTGCTGTTCACTTGGAGAACCGTGTTTTCTTCCAGCTGTACCACCTGGAACGAAATATTCTATTTAGGAGCCATATAATTGCGACTTCTGATTCGCCTAGTAATTAAAATGTCAATAAATACGCCTTGATTACTGATTGGTGTTGTCAGAAAATTACACCTACTCATTTTGTATGTATGTTTTAGTTCGATCTGTGAACCAGTGATATGAGAACTAGCATCACTACATTGTTGTCAAAACAACCTTAACCAAATTGTAGCCACTATTTGTCAAAGTTGGTTACAGTAAGAGATCGTTCAAATATAACCTAAGCCAAATTAGGGCCACTTTAGAACCCTCCCCCTTTATTGCTGGTCCTTCACTGTCACCAGCATGACATAAACCAACATTGAACAAATTTTAATATTGGACCAATGTTGGTGACATTAAATTTGGCAACATTAATATGACGTAATACTTATTATGGACCATGTTGTTGCCTAGTATTCATGTTCAGTATATTATACCGTTCTGTATGAGTATTTAGTTTTATCTGTGAACCAGTGATATTAGGGCCCATTAAAACTAGCATCACTATAGGGTCTTCAAAACAACTTGAACCAACTTGCAGCCAATATTGGTCTAATTGGTGAAAGTAGGAGATCGTTCAAATATAACCTAAGCCAAATTAGGGCCAATGAAGACAACTTTAAATAAAAGTGCAAATATAACTTTTAAGTCATATTTAAAAACAGATTCCGATTGGAAGTCTCAAATTTCTAACCTAGTACAAGTCCTTTGTTGGGATCATAATCAGCCGACTTTCTAGCAACATCTTCATTTTCTGAAACATAAATTAGCATCAACTGAGTAGAAATAAAGATACCATAATATGCAGACTTTATTTTTTTTTGGCTGGCCTCGTGAGGTAAAATGAGGTTGACCCCCCCCCCCCCCCCCCCCCCCTTTATTATCTCACAATTCTTCAAAGCTTTTGTTAAAATTTATAACCTGATCTTTCTTCTCTGTGAATGTCAATGTCATATTCAACTTCTTCTTTATCTTCTGATCTCCCTAGAAAATAATGATCTCACTTATTGGTAACTTTTATTTCATGGAGCGTTGGAACTTGGCACAAATAAAGATGCGCGCGGTTAAATTTTTGCACTCTTTAGCTGCTGTGGTGAAAACTATATAGGGATAGCCGTGTGCAAATTATTACGTTTAAAGTAAAATCAATTTATTATATTTCAAAAATCATACCTAGACCGGAGACACCCCGAACTACAGAGAAAAGTAGTACGATCAAAAGTTTAACACGCATTCCTGTTCCACCTGATTTCTTGAGTCGTGATCTTTAGAATTAAACTAATCCAAATTGTATATTCAGTTAACGCAAACAGTCATCAATTCCAATTAATCAGTGATGTGTGTATTGCAAAAAACAAAACGCGTCTTCATGAAAACTAAAAATTCTGAAGCAAAGATAAGGGATCGTTCACATATTACGTAATCATTTTTTTGGAACATTTTTACCCCCCCCCCCCCTCCGTTATCATTTTTACACATAGCTATTGTGTCAAAATTACACTAGCATAATCATTCGGAAACCCCCCCCCCCCCCTCAGCTGATAACGTTATATGTGAACCATCCCTAAGTAAGACGGTCGGGCAAACAAATAAAAGCTCGAATCATTTTGAGCATCGTTCATTTAAAATTCGGGTAATTTATATGAGTATATGATTATGAACGTAGAATAATTATGAGGTGACAAAATATGGTATTAGGTATTGCTTACGATCGTTTAAATGGCCGAATTATTAGGTTAGCAAACAGAAATTGCAGTCCAAATCATCATCACTGTCAACAGACGTATATAGCAGTTTACAAATTTATTGAAAGTAAAATAAGTACTAGTGGTCGTTCTGAACTGAGTGAACACACAACAAGATACAAGGGCAGGTCTCTCCCGAACGTTGGGATGGCCTGAGGTGCTTATCTCCTTTTCAGTAACCCTAAGCCACTCTGTGCCGAGGCACTATACTAGCTGTAGGGGGGTTAGTCCTACGAGCCAGAGAGTGTGTATCACCAGCCGAAGCTGTACCAAATCACAGCTTGGTAACTGGCCGACATGCATCCGACCGGATTTGAACCCGGGTCTTCTGCTTGGGAGGCGATCGAGTTACCACTACACCACCCGGCCGACAAAATCACCTCATTTAAATTCGTCACCCCAAAGTAAATAACCGCACTGGATTACTACCCCTGATCTAAACCTGGGTAACTGTAACGTCAGCGATTCTGACTGCCAATTTTGTCACATGAACATCTAGGCAGACGGTCAGGCAAACAAATAAAAGCTCGAATCATTTTAAGCATCGTTCATTTAAAATTCGGGTAATTTATATATATTTACATATATGAGTATATGATTATGAACGTAGAATAATTATGATGTGACAAAATATGGTATTAGGTATTGCTTACGATCGCTTAAATGGCCGAATTATTAGGTTAGCAAACAGAAATTGCAGTCCAAATCATCATCACTGTCAACAGACGTATATAGCAGTTTACAAATTTATTGAAAGGAAAATAAGTACTAGTGGTCGTTCTGAACTGAGCTTGAGTGAACACACCTCATTTAAATTCGTCACCCCAAAGTAAATAACCGCACTGGATTACTACCCCTGATCTAAACCTGGGTAACTGTAACATCAGCGATTCTGACTGCCAATTTTGTCACATGAACATCTAGGCAGTGCGTCATTGGTCTAAACACGTTACCAAACACCAAAATCAGCTGCTGAGTAGGCTGAGATATCTCAGGAAGAATCTCTTGATTTTTGGCTCGTCTAAATCTTGGTGATCATTGTTCATATCGCTATATTTCTGTCCAAATTTTCACGTGAGTAGACCCAATTCTCCCAGTTAAGATTTAAATCCATTCCAACCCGGAGGTTTTTTCCAGAATAGTTATCTTATTCAACTTCCGCCCTATTTTTAGCCTTAATTTTCTTTATTTCAGCTGCTGTAACTATGAAGAGAATCCTACGAGTGGAACTCCCATAGAAACTGGTCCCATTTGCACCTTCAATCATCTTGATTGGAGAGACGATATTCAGGCTAAGTTTGGTCGATGCTTCGGGTAAGTTTTATGTTACCATAACTAAATATTCTAATTGTAAACTTATAATTCCAAAACCAATAATGTATGTATTGCAACGACAACAAAACACGCGTCTCCATGAAAACTAAAAAATTCATAAAAACTAAAAACACTGAAGACAGTCAGGCAAACAAATAAAAGCCCAGGTCATTTTGAAAATAGTTCATTTACACGATTATGAACGTAGAATAATTTATGAGGTGTCAATTGGTATTAGGTATTGCTTACGATCGTTAAAATGGATGAATTATTACGGTAGCAGTTACCCAGCAAACAGAAATTGCAGGCCAAATGATTATCACTATCATCAGGCGAATTTAGCAGTTTGCAAATTTATTGACAGGAAAATAAGTACTAGTGGTCGTTCTGAACTGAGTGAACACACCTCATTTAAATTCGTCACCCAAAGTAAATAACCGCACTGGATTACTACCCCTGATCTAAACCTGGGTAACTGTAACGTCAGCGATTCTGACTGCCAATTTTGTCACATGAACATCTAGGCAGACGGTCAGGCAAACAAATTTAAAAGCTCGAATCATTTTGAGCATCGTTCATTTAAAATTCGGGTAATTTATATATATTTACATATATGAGTATATGATTATGAACGTAGAATAATTATGAGGTGACAAAATATGGTATTAGGTATTGCTTACGATCGTTTAAATGGCCGATTTATTAGGTTAGCAAACAGAAATTGCAGTCCAAATCATCATCACTGTCAACAGACGTATATAGCAGTTTACAAATTTATTGAAAGGAAAATAAGTACTAGTGGTCGTTCTGAACTGAGTGAACACACCTCATTTAAATTCGTCACCCAAAGTAAATAACCGCACTGGATTACTACCCCTGATTTAAACCTGGGTAACTGTAACGTCAGCGATTCTGACTGCCAATTTTGTCACATGAACATCTAGGCAGACGGTCAGGCAAACAAATAAAAGCTCGAATCATTTTGAGCATCGTTCATTTAAAATTCGGGTAATTTATATATATTTACATATATGAGTATATGATTATGAACGTAGAATAATTATGAGGTGACAAAATATGGTATTATGTATTGCTTACGATCGTTTAAATGGCCGATTTATTAGGTTAGCAAACAGAAATTGCAGTCCAAATCATCATCACTGTCAACAGACGTATATAGCAGTTTACAAATTTATTGAAAGGAAAATAAGTACTAGTGGTCGTTCTGAACTGAGTGAACACACCTCATTTAAATTCGTCACCCAAAGTAAATAACCGCACTGGATTACTACCCCTGATCTAAACCTGGGTAACTGTAACGTCAGCGATTCTGACTGCCAATTTTGTCACATGAACATCTAGGCAGTGTTTGATTGGTCTAAACACGTTACCAAACACCAAAATCAGTTGCTGAGTAGGCTGAGATATCTCAGGAAGAATCTCTTGATTTTTGGCTCGTCTAAATCTTGGTGATCATTGTTCATATCGCTATATTTCTGTCCAAATTTTCACGTGAGTAGACCCAATTCTCCCAGTTAAGATTTAAATCCATTCCAACCAGGAGGTTTTTTCCAGAATAGTTATCTTATTCAACTTCCGCCCTATTTTTAGCCTTAATTTTCTTTATTTCAGCTGCTGCAACTATGAAGAGAATCCTACGAGTGGAACTCCCATAGAAACTGGTCCCATTTGTACCTTCAATCATCTTGAGTGGAGAGACGATATTCAGGCTAAGTTTGGTCGATGCTTTGGGTAAGTTTTATGTTACCATAACTAAATATTCTAATTGTAAACTTTACAACGACAAGAAAACACGCGTCTCCATGAAAACTAAAAAATCCATAAAAACTAAAAACACTGAAGACAGTCAGGCAAACAAATAAAAGCCCAAGTTATTTTGAAAATCGTTCATTTAAAATTTTGGTCATTTACACGATTATAAACGTAGAATAATTTATGAGGTGTCAAATGGTATTAGGTATTGCTTACGATCGTTTAAATGGATGAATTATTACGGTAGCAGTTACCCAGCAAACAAAAATTGCAGGCCAAATCATTTTCACTATCTTCAGGCGAATTTAACAGTTTGCAAATTTATTGGCAGGAAAATAAGTTAAAGTACTAATGGTCGTTGTGAACTGAGTGAACACACCTCATTTAAATTCGTCACCCCAAAGTAAATACCCGCACTGGATTACCATGATCTAAACCTGGGTAACTGTAACGTCAGCGATTCTGACTGCCAATTTTGTCACATGAACATCTAGGCAGTGCGTCATTGGTCTAAACACGTTACCAAACACCAAAATCAGCTGCTGAGTAGGCTGAGATATTTCAGGAAGAATCTCTTGATTTTTGGCTCGTCTAAATCTTGGTGATCATTGTTCATATCGCTATATTTCTGTCCAAATTTTCACGTGAGTAGACCTAATTCTCCCAGTTAAGATTTAAATCCATTCCAACCAGGAGGTTTTTTCCAGAATAGTTATCTTATTCAACTTCCGCCCTATTTTTAGCCTTAATTTTCTTTATTTCAGCTGCTGTAACTATGAAGAGAATCCTACGAGTGGAACTCCCATAGAAACTGGTCCCATTTGCACCTTCAATCATCTTGAGTGGAGAGACGACATTCAGGCTAAGTTTGGTCGATGCTTTGGGTAAGTTTTATGTTACCATAACATTAACTAAATATTCTAATTGTAAACTTATAATTCCAAAATCAATAATGTATGTATTGCAACGACAACAAAACACGCGTCTCCATGAAAACTAAAAAATCCATAAAACTAAAAACACTGAAGCAAAGACAGTCAGGCAAACAAATAAAAGCCCAAGTTATTTTGAAAATCGTTCATTTACACGATTATGAACGTAGAATAATTTATGAGGTGTCAATTGGTATTAGGTATTGCTTACGATCGTTAAAATGGATGAATTATTACGGTAGCAGTTACCCAGCAAACAGAAATTGCAGGCCAAATGATTATCACTATCATCAGGCGAATTTAGCAGTTTGCAAATTTATTGACAGGAAAATAAGTACTAGTGGTCGTTGTGAACTGAGTTAACACACCTCATTTAAATTCGTCACCCCAAAGTAAATACCCGCACTGGATTACCATGATCTAAACCTGGGTAACTGTAACGTCAGCGATTCTGACTGCCAATTTTGTCACATGAACATCTAGGCAGTGCGTCATTGGTCTAAACACGTTACCAAACACCGAAATCAGCTTCTGAGTAGGCTGAGATATCTCAGGAAGAATCTCTTGATTTTTGGCTCGTCTAAATCTGAGTGATTATTGTTCATATCGCTATATTTCTGTCCAAATTTTCACGTGAGTAGACCCAATTCTCCCAGCTAAGATTTAATTCCATTCCCAATCCTGAGTTGTTTCCAGAATAATACCATATTCAACTTCCGCCCTATTTTTAGCCTTAATATTCTTTATTTCAGCTGCTGTATTAGTCTAACTGTGAAGATAATCCTACGAGTGGAACTCCCATACTCATAGAAACTATTTCCACGTTCAATTATCTTGAGTGGAGCGACGATATATTCAGGCTAAGTTTGGTCGGTGTAAGTTTTATGTTCTACCTAATACCTATACCATAACTAAACTACTTACGAGTTAGTATTTTACTATACTAGGGCAATACTACATTTTACTATACTAGGGCAATCGCCAATCCTGTGTAATCCTGTGTAATCCCGTGTAATCCCGTGTAATCCTGTGTAATCCTGTGTAATCCTGTGTAATCCTGTGTAATCCTGTGTAATCCTGTGTAATCCTGTGTAATCCCGTGTCATCCTGTATAATCCTGTGTAATCCTGTGTAATCCTGTGTAATCCTGTGTCATCCTGTGTAATCCTGTGTAATCCTGTGTAATCCTTCCCTTGCCAAATATTAGAGGGTGGTCTCAGCTCTCAGATAGCAACCATTTCAGTTCAAGTTCAACTAGTCAAACTTATACTTGAGTCTTACTCTATAATGTATTTTATTGTCTAGATCCTGACGGACTTCCTGATGTCGACTGTTATTAAGACAGAAAACAGCTCAAAGTGTAAATATATGCGGAAAACGGCTCAAAGGCGAGCGGTAAGAATGAAATAATAATCGGCGAGCGACATCTTTTTGACCTTCTAATCGCATTTTGCAATGACCCAATATTTGTTTAGAATACTTGCCCGCTGTATATGATTTGAATCATTAAATAAAATGATAAGCAAATTTAACAGATGCAATCATCAATGAAAAACCGCATTTGACTTATCAAGTAAGTTTAACACGGAAAATAAATCTTACACTTACATTATTAATACAAGAAACATATTAGAATTCTCACCAAACAGATTGGGACACTGGTAGACACACAACAAAATAAGGCATCATGTAGCCTCCAGGCTCGACAAACCCCGACAAACCCCGACATATCCCGACAAACCCCGACGTGTCGAGATATTATCATGTCGGGCCCACCGGCTACATGAGGCCTTCAGTGGGTGTCGCGACCAAAAAAAAAATATTTAAACAAATTTTTAAAAAAAGTAAAAAAAAATAGTAAAAGAAAAAAGAAAAAAAGAAGAAGCTAATTAGCTAGCTGATCCATCTCGGCCTCTGAGCCTAATCACTTTTCATCCATTATTAACGAATCCCGACAAACCCTGACAAACCCCGACAAACTCCGACAAACCCTGACAAACCCCGACAAACCCCGACAAACCCCGACGTGTCGAGATATGTCGTATCATGTTGGGCCCACCGGCTACATGATGCCTAAAATAGAAAATAAGGCACAACCAAAAGTTGGCATGCTCCGATGACTGAATATATTGAACCCAGCTACCACCCCTGTGGATAGGTGACACGACATCTGTCCGACAGCGACATCTGTCCGACAGCACTATTTTCGTGTGTTTGACATATGCTTTGGAACCACTGAAAACCACCGAATTGGATATATTTTTTGTGTTTAAGGTAATATCTTAAATTTGGCACATAGAAACTCGCTCAAACTTACACAGATTAGTCGTCCAATTACCACCATATTTTATGGAAAGTTTCAAGAAAATCGTACGGTAGGATCAGACATAAACTATTGTCCAAATAACCTATTTTCTGAGTCGGACAGATGTCGCTGTCGGACAGATGTCGGCCAATCGTGTGGATAATACTATTAACTCAGTGTGAAAGTAGAAATGGTAAATTACTCGCATCACAATAAAAATGCTGCTGAGGGTATCTTTTGATAAATCGGCGGGAGGCAGGCACGGTTGATCGTGCTCATTCCCTATGTCACATCACGTGGTCACATCACGTACAGGGTCAATGTGTTTCAAACTTCTTGTACCAAGTTACTATTACTGTTGTTGTTTATGGACAGAATTTAGAAAACAACACCAATTTAGTCCTTTGCCTTAGTACTACCACTAACTTTTTATAGCAGATAAATGGATTAACATTAAACAATTATTCAAAAAGTAAATCAGTTCAAGACTTGACCCTTACAACTTACAAGCAAGTAATCCGAGCCATGAGTCTGAACTGGTGAGCCTGCATTGCGTTTATGAACACCTTATTTTTGACTCTCACGAAGTGAGTGTCGGCTTATGAGTATATACTCGAGTAGTGTACTCGACGAGTACACACTTATATACTTACTTTTATGAATGACCCCTTATTTAAGAGCTGTTAACGAAAGATGAAACAAAAAATAATCAAAACAATTTCAAATTGAAAATATCGATATTTACAACTACACAATGAGATATTGCCCCAAATACACAAACAGAATAAATAAAACCCATAATATAAAATAAAATTCCGTAGTACACAGTACTAAAACTCAATGAAACTGATACAAAAATGATGATGACTCAATCAATCTAGGCATGAAATAAAACTCAAATATCAGTTCCATTTCCCCTATATAATCTCATGAAATTGTAAGTAAGGAAGTACCCAGACGAATATATTGTATAAAACATCTTATCACAGATTACCTACTACCTTCAAGACCGAACGACCAGTGATTCGCTCAGTAATTTAACTCTTTCTTAACAAAATGACATTTACAGACACCTAAAAATTAAAGTCCTGACAAGTAAACTAGTAGCTGTCCCCTGAGATTTCCCCACTGTAAACCTCATCCTCCCCCTCATCATATTCATCATCTCCATCGTCCAAACTGTACATCTCATATTCTTGCATCATGTCCTTTATGTTCGTCTCCGCCTGGGAACGGTGCATATTTTTTAGTGTGTTATTGAGCTAATGTAGAAATTTTCTAACACAAATAATTTGAAACTTCTCCAGACAATTTTATCGTTAAAACAGTTCAGTGAGTTATATAATTTTCTAAAAAGTACGACTTCCTAACCAGAAAAAACTTTACTTCAAACCCATGTGATAGATTGTCAAAGTAGAGAATAGTATATCTGATATTTCATTTACCTCAGTAAACTCCATTTCGTCCATCCCCTCACCATAGTACCAGTGAGCGAAGGCTCTCTTTTTATACATCTTCTTATACTGGTTTAGTAGTCTGTCAAATATGTCTATCACTGCTGTGTTGTTACCAATAAACGTTCCTGGAATATATAATTTGTATTGATCATTGCTAGAATCTTTTAAAAAGCTATACGGAATCTGAGAGAGCACGTAGTATAAAAGATATTAACTTATATTATTTTATGAGACGAATATAGGACCGAATTTTATCTTTTCATTTAATACAAATTACTTTGTAACAATTGCTTTTATGAAGGAGCAGATTATAATTTTGATAAGAATATAGTTTTAACGTAAATGTTTTCGTGTTTGTTGTATTTTTATAAAATTTACTAATATTTTCGTTTTTATAAATTATTATTTTGTATTGGTTGTAACAGAAGGTATATGACACATAATGTTGATTTAGAGGGGTTTCAATCCTCCTCCATCCTCAACTGGAGTTTCACTTTCTCAATATACGAAAGTTTTTATCTAATTACAACACTACAAATCTATTACATTTATTGAGCCTGAAGATGGCGTTGACGCCGAAAATTTGCCCTTACTCCTAACTTCCTTGTTTCACTTGTCCTTGTCCTTCCAACCGGATATTATCCAACTATCAATATACGAAACCTTAAGATATTACTCTGAGTTCTGCTCCTTCATAAAAATCAACGGAGAATACGAAACATATCAGAGGTAACGAAACAGCACAAGGATCCGTCAACTCTACGAATGATAGCAGCTATAGGATAATATGATATTCTCTGTATGATATTGATTAAAAACTCAATGCTCCATCAATCCTCATAACAGTTTCTAGAGATGTCCATCTTTGCACAATATTTTGCGTGACTTCGAACGAAGTAGGGACCGCACAATCAAATCGAAGAATTCTAGAAATAGGAAATAACCGTCGATTAAAATGTCGAGACAAATTGCACGTGCAACATTATAGCAACTATAGCAACGATTGCTAGCCAGCATTACCAACTTGTTTGATATTCGGGCAGCATGACAAACACTCAAATTAACAGTATGAAAGAATTGGTCCTATTTGCATACTTAATCCAGCTGAGCGGCTCCTGTTCTTGTTATGACCCTCCCAACCTTGCCCTGTTCTGTGACAACCCCTCTTGGAACGTCGTAAAGATCAGAGTTGAAAACGTAATCAAGGACCTCCCTGATGAATGGTGGGAAGAGTTTGACTGGTCATCCTTGGATCCTAATGAGCTCGGAGAATGGCCCCTCCCACCACTACCACGAGGGCCTAATTCTGTCAATTCTAATAGTAATAAGGAAACTTGGGAGAATGCAGAGAAAGAGGTCGAAGCAGTAGTCGAGAAAGTTTGGGGTTTGGGAAATACAAAGGTGGGTCGGAAAATGACCCTCCGGAGCCATAACAAGGACAATTTTTGCGGAGTTGCGAAACAGCTGGGACTGGGGGAGATCGCAGATATCTGGATAAAAGAAAATACGACGTCGCTGAGCGTGGTAGGCTGTCATTTCAACCGCTTCAAACACGAAAGCCCAAGCCGAGAAGAGTATCTAGACACATTGCAAACTGTGCCGTGCTAAAAAAGTGAACATGTTCGACTGGCTACGAACAAAATAATACAAATATCTCTGATTGATGGCCACAAAATATTACATTATCATTTTTATTCACACTTATAGGTAATTGATTTACCATATTTGTGATATTTGATGAACCATGTTTTTTTTTTTCAAAACGAATAATGAATTCTCGTCTCACAGTACTCATTGTAAATCAAATTAAAAGCGTAACTCGAATCATAATAAAAATCCGCAGTATTATGACGACACAGAATTGATGACGTATTTAACTAAAATGAATGGCACAAGGTAAAATTAAAAGCTCACCACTCTGCGCGCCCTCTCCCTCGGGAGGCGGTACATCACAAGCAGCTGTCTTGACGTTGTTAGGTATCCACTCTACAAATGAAGCACTTTCCTTGGTTTGCATTAGGTTCAGCTGGTGGTCTATCTCTCTCATCGACAAATCCTTCCCTCGGAATATACAAGCACCTGAAACAAATATGTAATATGTATACATATACTACATATGCCGCCCTGTGCACCACAAGTAACACACTTATTTATAGTGCTCCATCAATACTTCCAGCCATGAATCATCAACACTTTGAACAGTGTTCATGGCGCTTCATCAATTATTGTGTACTACTGTATCTGTAACAGCTGTTGATAATAATATAGTGACTCACAAGTAAGATAAACTCCACGTTTGGGGTCGCAAGCAACTAGCATGTTCTTAGGGTTGAACAGGTCCTTGACTAGGTTAGAGTTCTCATATCTCTGATTACCCGACAATGGGGCGTAACCTGAAAAGATTTTAGAGGATTTTAAGCCTGAGGAATAGTTGGACAGATCATTGAAATGATAATATAGCTGATGAACTGTTGTTGGGAGTCTGCATGGTATAAGGTGACAACTTTAAATTATTGCAACCGCCTGATTTTAAGCTGTATTTCAAATTGTCACAAAATTCTTATTGATGATTTCTAAAATCGCCCGTCTATGATTTATTTGAGTCAAGCAGGATCATTTAAGCACATTTCCTGAATTAAGTGCGCGTAGGATTGGAACAATCAAAAGCAATTTACTAATTGACCTTAACCATCTCTAATCCGTGTTGTCCGATTCTAACGAATCAAAGTAACTTTGAGTTAATTCAGAACGGGTTTACACTGAGATGAAGCTAATTCACAACATTTCCGGTACAATGGAATGTGTTTTCTAATGTATACCTCTGACTCGTTAGAATCGCAACGATTAATAGACGTATAGTGCACACCCGACTGTACAGTGAATAGTGGCGTGAAAACACCAAACTCGACGTCATATTATCAATGATCTATTGATATCATAAATATCGAGGTAGTGATTTGAATATAAGTAACCTGGAATGAAGAATTTCAGTCGAGGGAATGGGACAAGGTTGGTAGCTAGCTTTCTTAGATCGGCATTTAACTGAAAAATAGTTATTCTTCAAAATAGCTTGTTTAATTTTATTTCCAATTGGCACTTTATACTCAATAACTATTATTGGTCGATAGGACCGGGGTTCCGTATTATCATCCTTCATTACGTACATACAAATTGGCTAATATAAACTTAATGAACGTTGAGTGTTGACTTAAAATTAATTAAGCAGTACAAGACTCCAATAACTCCTCTATAACGGTAAACCCTTGCCAGGGCCCTAAACTTTAATTAAAACAGTAGTCAGTACGTTACGTAATATTATATATAAGTTTACTCCCCAAACTAAACAATTAGTACCTGTCCAGGTAGTCGGAGGGAAGCAGTAACCCCAGTCATAGCTCTACTGACGAGACGGTTGAGGTCCCTGTAGCTCGGGGTCAGTATCTTCAGGTCCTCTACACACCGTCTATACAGCGCCTCGTTATCTATAAGGGTAGAGGGGTAGATGGGATCATTAGCTGATTAATGGATTATTCACCTCATAAATTAGTCATTTATTCAATAATTATGATCTATCTACAATTATAGATATTGAATAAATATATTATCACACATTGTTAAGATATTATCACACATTGTTAAGATATTATCACACATTGTTAAGATATTATCACACATTGTTAAGATATTATCACATACCCAACAAGAAGACCTCAGTAGCGTTCTCCAGCAGAGAGTGAAGACTAAACACTGCATTGTACGGTTCTACAACTACATCAGACACCAAGGTAGAAGGGAAGACGGAGAAGCTCATGTTAATACGATCTGGATACTCTTCCATCATTTTAGCTATCAGCAAGGTTCCTAGACCTGCCAGTTAATGAGGATTTAATGGGGTTTTAATGAGTTTTAAATGAGTTGTTAAGGGATTGTTCACTAGGTTTAATGAGAAGTTATTAAATGTGACTAGTGAAGGTGAAGCACATGTTGTACCACAACTTCTATCACATGTCATTCATGTCCCAGCTTACCAGATTTTTAAAAAACCTGTTAAAAGAAGGAAAAAAACTATTTCTTCATCATCAATACTCAATAGTCAATACTCAATAGTCCCTTTTAAGTTTTAACCTCAATAAAACGTATTAAAAACCACTAACCCCCCCCCCCCTGTAAAATGAGGAGCATTATACCTGAGCCAGTGCCGCCTCCCCCCCTGTAAAATGAGGAGCATTATACCTGAGCCAGTGCCGCCTCCCCCCCCCCCCCCCCTGTAAAATGAGGAGCATTATACCTGAGCCAGTGCCGCCTCCCCCCTGTAAAATGAGGAGCATTATACCTGAGCCAGTGCCCCCCCCCCCCGCCCTGTAAAATGAGGAGCATTATACCTGAGCCAGTGCCGCCTCCCCCCCCGTAAAATGAGGAGCATTATACCTGAGCCAGTGCCGCCTCCCCCCCCCCCCCCTGTAAAATGAGGAGCATTATACCTGAGCCAGTGCCGCCTCCCCCCCCCCCCCCCCTGTAAAATGAGGAGCATTATATCTGAGCCAGTGCCGCCTCCCCCTTCTGTAAAATGAGGAGCATTATACCTGAGCCAGTGCCGCCCCCCCCCCCCCCCCTGTAAAATGAGGAGCATTATACCTGAGCCAGTGCCGCCTCCCCCCCCCCCGTAAAATGAGGAGCATTATACCTGAGCCAGTGCCCCCCCCCCCGCCCTGTAAAATGAGGAGCATTATACCTGAGCCAGTGCCGCCTCCCCCCTGTAAAATGAGGAGCATTATACCTGAGCCAGTGCCGCCTCCCCCCCCCCCCCCCCCTGTAAAATGAGGAGCATTATACCTGAGCCAGTGCCGCCTCCCCCCCCCCTGTAAAATGAGGAGCATTATATCTGAGCCAGTGCCGCCTCCCCCTTCTGTAAAATGAGGAGCATTATACCTGAGCCAGTGCCGCCTCCCCCCCCCCCCTGTAAAATGAGGAGCATTATACCTGAGCCAGTGCCGCCTCCCCCCTTCCCTGTAAAATGAGGAGCATTATACCTGAGCCAGTGCCGCCTCCCCCCCCCTGTAAAATGAGGAGCATTATACCTGAGCCAGTGCCGCCCCCTCCCCCCTCCCCCTGTAAAATGAGGAGAATTATACCTGAGCCAGTGCTGCCCCCCCTGTAAAATGAGGAGCATTATACCTGAGCCAGTGCCGCCTCCCCCCCCCCCTGTAAAATGAGGAGCATTATATCTGAGCCAGTGCCGCCTCCCCCTTCTGTAAAATGAGGAGCATTATACCTGAGCCAGTGCCGCCTCCCCCCCCCCCCTGTAAAATGAGGAGCATTATACCTGAGCCAGTGCCGCCTCCCCCCTTCCCTGTAAAATGAGGAGCATTATACCTGAGCCAGTGCCGCCTCCCCCCTGTAAAATGAGGAGCATTATACCTGAGCCAGTGCCCCCCCCCCCCCCCCCCCCGCCCTGTAAAATGAGGAGCATTATACCTGAGCCAGTGCCGCCTCCCCCCCTGTAAAATGAGGAGCATTATACCTGAGCCAGTGCCGCCTCCCCCCCCCCCCTGTAAAATGAGGAGCATTATACCTGAGCCAGTGCCGCCCCCCCCCCCCCCCTGTAAAATGAGGAGCATTATATCTGAGCCAGTGCCGCCTCCCCCTTCTGTAAAATGAGGAGCATTATACCTGAGCCAGTGCCGCCTCCCCCCCCCCCCCCCCCTGTAAAATGAGGAGCATTATACCTGAGCCAGTGCCGCCTCCCCCCCCCCTGTAAAATGAGGAGCATTATACCTGAGCCAGTGCCCCCCCCCCCCCCCCCCCCCGCCCTGTAAAATGAGGAGCATTATACCTGAGCCAGTGCCGCCTCCCCCCTGTAAAATGAGGAGCATTATACCTGAGCCAGTGCCGCCTCCCCCCCCCCCCCTGTAAAATGAGGAGCATTATACCTGAGCCAGTGCCGCCTCCCCCCCCCCCCTGTAAAATGAGGAGCATTATATCTGAGCCAGTGCCGCCTCCCCCTTCTGTAAAATGAGGAGCATTATACCTGAGCCAGTGCCGCCTCCCCCCCCCCCCCTGTAAAATGAGGAGCATTATACCTGAGCCAGTGCCGCCTCCCCCCTTCCCTGTAAAATGAGGAGCATTATACCTGAGCCAGTGCCGCCTCCCCCCCCCCCTGTAAAATGAGGAGCATTATACCTGAGCCAGTGCCGCCCCCTCCCCCTGTAAAATGAGGAGAATTATACCTGAGCCAGTGCTGCCCCCCCTGTAAAATGAGGAGCATTATACCTGAGCCAGTGCCGCCTCCCCCCCCCCCTGTAAAATGAGGAGCATTATATCTGAGCCAGTGCCGCCTCCCCCTTCTGTAAAATGAGGAGCATTATACCTGAGCCAGTGCCGCCTCCCCCCCCCCCCCCTGTAAAATGAGGAGCATTATACCTGAGCCAGTGCCGCCTCCCCCCTTCCCTGTAAAATGAGGAGCATTATACCTGAGCCAGTGCCGCCTCCCCCCCCTGTAAAATGAGGAGCATTATACCTGAGCCAGTGCCGCCCCCTCCCCCCTCCCCCTGTAAAATGAGGAGAATTATACCTGAGCCAGTGCTGCCCCCCCTGTAAAATGAGGAGCATTATACCTGAGCCAGTGCCCCCCCCCCCCCCCCCCCCCGCCCTGTAAAATGAGGAGCATTATACCTGAGCCAGTGCCGCCTCCAATAGAATGAACAAACTGGAACCCCTGCAGACAATCTGATCTTTCAGCTTCTAGTCTAACTACGTCCAATATCTGAATTATGTTTTGCGGATAACCTGCCATATTATGAGACTGTTGATCCTAGAGAACTCCAGATAGATAAGTGTTATAAATATGTTTAAAAATTAAAAAACATTATAAATAAGTTGAATATGTTAACTATGTTAAATGTGATGAGATACCTGATCACTGATCTCAGCCCCCTCTGTGTAGTGACCCTTAGCCCAGTTGTTCCCTGCCCCACTTGCTCCATGTATATAGTTGGAGGGATTAAAGATCCTGCCCCACTCACTGCCCTTAACTGCTTCTATCGTACCCGGCTCCAGATCTACTATAACTGACCGGGGTACAAACCTGCAGTAATAAGGGGAGATGTTGATTAGAAAACTATTGTTTGGGGCCAGTAGAGTAAATAATTAATAGGTTAATATTATTTGCTGGCTCTACAAATGCGGACCTGCCCTGAGAAGCTCTGTTCCAGTAAACATCAGCTCGGTTTAGCATGACGTCATTGACACCGTCATGCTGCCCGTCCTTGTCTATACCGTGCTCCTGAAAATATACGGTAATAAATCGTGCAGTGGTTCAACGAGAAGGAGATTCGAGAGAGATCTAAAGTTGAAGATTTTAGATCCTTGATTCATGTTATATTACCTATTCATCTAGGGACTACGGGTGGAAGATGAATAATTGAAATTCCAACAGCATCCTGTTCCGTTCATTGTGCTGATTCCGGGAAATATTTTGTTTACGCTCTCGCTCTTATCTCCAGAGTTTGTATAATATGGGTGGCTGAACTAAATCGTTTGACTTGATATTACGTTGTTAATATCAAGTCAACTGCGCGCACTGTCCGCAATATTACCAGGTTTCAGGGTTAGCCATGTTAGCAATGTTAACCGTGTTAACCATGTTAACCATGTTAACCATGTTAACCATTTTAACCGTGTTAACCATGTTAACCATGTTAATCATGTTAACCATATTAACCATGTTAACCATTATAACCATGTTAACAATGTTAACCATATTAACCATGTTAACCATGTTAACCATGTTAATCATGTTAACCATATTAACCATGTTAACCATTATAACCATGTTAACAATGTTAACCATATTAACCATGTTAACCATGTTAACCATGTTAACAATATTAACCATGTTAACAATGTTAACCATGTTAACAATGTTAACCATATCAACCATGTTAACCATGTCAACCATGTCAACCATGTTAACCATGTTAACTATGTTAACCATGTTAACCATGTTAACCATGTTAACAATATTAACCATATTATAACCATGTTAACCATGTTAACCATGTTAACCATGTTAACATTAACATACCTTGCTAATACTCTCCCAGAACTGGGTTCCTATCTGGTTTCCACACTGTCCCACTTGAATGTGAATGATCTCTCTCATCTTACTCCAACTTTACAACTCCTGCTCAGTGCTCAGTTAAGCAATTAGGGAGATATTGTTAAGAGCTTTGCAGTTGTGTGAATTTAGAAGGAAATCATGGTAAAGTAGCAGTGATGAGTGACGCATGGCCAGTTTTCATCAGTACTTCATGAATATTCTGATATTGGAGGTGTATAGTAAAACTGTTAATCAACGTGCCCATTGTCTCGTAAGTTGAGAGATGTTCAAGATTTGTGGAATCGTGTCGGCGAACTTGGCCGATACCTTTCAGTAAAGGTGAATAAATTACATGTTCTTTGAGTAAGATACCGAGGCGATGGTATTGACTCTATTTATATCAAATCAAGCTTATTCAAAATGACCACCAATTTAATAAAGCTATGAGAAAAACTTGAAACATAGTTTTAACTCATAGAAATAATCTACTGAAATTGTTATGTGTACTGTAAATTGGCAGTGGGAACAATTAAAAATGTTAGCAAAGCATCCTGCATCAATGATCAATGTGAATTGTGAACTGTAAATGTAGTAACAAAGTCAATACGTACCATCAATACTTATGTTGCTGTTTGTATACATTGAACAAACAAATGGATTGTTATTTTAGAATGGTTATTTACATCTTTTGCGATAAACCACCACGCCATTTCTTGTCATATTACAAAAGAAACATGTCAATTAAACGAAAATTTTAAATTAATATGAAATCCCAGAAAACAACAAATAATCTTACAAAATAAAATAAAGTGTCATCACAAAATTAGTATATTTATATCATCTCAACTCAAAACGAAATTATTAAGTAATAACATGTCAACATGCAAACAAATAAATAATTCACAAACTTCCGGCAATAAATTCAAAATCTAAAAATTGATACCTAAAATAATTCAAATAAAACATCAAATAATCAATAAATGCATCAATAAATAACTAATATGAATAATTACTATAAATAGAAACGAATAAACTTGAATGTTTTGAAATATAAAGTCTTTTAGAAAAGTTAATTCACGGTAAATTCGATTTTAAACCTGAAATTTGATATTATCAATTTAATAAAGCCGAAAAACGTCAAGATTAACAATATTTCATAACAATGTTTGTGTTAATAAAGATATCCATTGCATTATAATAGGCCCTAATATACTTGCCCACACAAAAAGTTCAGAGGTCTTGTACTGTCACCCCACGTGCATTATCACCCAACCTACAGTGAACTCTAATCCTCGTAAACCTCGTCATCCTCTCCTTCACTGCACTCCTCACTGCCACATTCCTGGTACTTCAGGTACTCTGTACACAAGTCTCGTAGGTTGTTCTCCGCCTGCACCAGGACAAGAGGTTATTTGTAATGTAGACATTTAGAAAACTTATACAAAAGGGAACTGAGATGAATTATAGATGTGTCTAACAAACAAACGTACATACACACAAACAAACGTACAGACACGCAAACAAACGTACAGACACACAAACAAACCTCCGTGAACTCCTGGAGATCCATGCCCTCCCCTGTGTACCAGTGTGTAAAAGCTCGTCGAGAGAACATCTGAGAGAACCTGTCTAGTGTCCTTCCAAAGCACTCGTGTATAGACGTGTTGTTACCGATAAACGTGCCTGACAATTTAAGTAATATTACAGCAATATTACAGTAATATTACCGCAATATTACAGCTCAATATTAATTTACAGCAATGAATGACGACCAAGATAAAAGGCATTTGATGTCAATCTTGAAAGTTGAATTAACTATATAAAGTAATTTAATATAAACTGTTATCTTGATAATTACAAGTTCTTACCCGCTACACTAACACCCTTAGGAGGTACGTTACAGCAGGCTGTCTTAACATTACTTGGCACCCATTCCACGAACGAGGAACTGTGTTTAGTCTGAAGATCTGCCATGTGTTTGTCGACCTCCCTCATTGAGATTTTCCCTCGCAGCATACACGCAACTGTAATGTTTTAATTTCAGTTTTAGATCTTCCCTCGCAGCATACACGCAACTGTAATGTTTTAATTTCAGTATTAGATCTTCCCTCGCAGCATACACGCAACTGTAATGTTTTAATTTCAGTATTGGATAGTTAGATCTTCCCTCGCAGCATACACGCAACTGTAATGTTTTAATTTCAGTATTAGATCTTCCCTCGCAGCATACACGCAACTGTAATGTTTTAATTTCAGTATTAGATCTTCCCTCCTCGCAGCATACACGCAACTGTAATGTTTTAATTTCAGTATTAGATCTTCCCTCCTCGCAGCATACACGCAACTGTAATGTTTTAATTTCAGTATTATATCTTCCCTCGCAGCATACACGCAACTGTAATGTTTTAATTTCAATATTAGATCTTCCCTCGCAGCATACACGCAACTGTAATGTTTTAATTTCAGTATTAGATCTTCCCTCGCAGCATACACGCAACTGTAATGTTTTAATTTCAGTATTATATCTTCCCTCGCAGCATACACGCAACTGTAATGTTTTAATTTCAGTATTAGATCTTCCCTCGCAGCATACACGCAACTGTATTGTTTTAATTTCAGTATTAGATCTTCCCTCCTCGCAGCATACACGCAACTGTAATGTTTTAATTTCAGTATTAGATCTTCCCTCGCAGTTTAGTATCATTATTGTCAGTGGTGATGATATAGCCAGCCCCGATCCCTGAGTCAGTGCGTGACCCATCTGTGTAGCAAGTGAGAGCGGTATAATTGCACTCTCTAAATTTATAAATTCCATTCAAGAATAATCATTTAAATATTCCGATGAACTATACTAATGAATTATATTAATGAATTATATTAATGAATTATACCCCACCCGTACAGTATGCTATTCAGTATGCTATTCAATGATAATCTTTGTCGTTATCAGGGTTCTAAATAGTTAGATTTCCGGATTGACACTCATGCACCCACCTGAGCATAATCGGCTATTGCATCATGGAGCATTGAACTCTGGTTTTCTCGGTTATTATCCATTACTATAAACTAAGATTTTAAATTTAAATATTAATGCAATTTAACTGTAAGAGGTAATATACTGAATAGTCACAAGCAGTTCGCTTCGAGGTACATCGTTTTCATGCTTCCATGACTACAATTATACTGAATTTACATGCCTATCTGACTGAAGAAGGCTGGAGGCTCCAGCAATCTGACTAAACGGTTATATTAACATACCAGTACCATCAGACTGATTACCAAGGAAGCCAAGATGAAAAGAGCTCATCTTGGCTCATCTTGGAGACATCTTGGAACCATTATCTCTTCGTATATATTTGCTAGGGTAATTATAGGAAACAATAGAATCACGCGATTCTCTTTCTCCAGGATCGGGATGCTCTAGAACCTTCCACTGGTTCCATAGGTTCATTTCTGTATAAGTTTGTTTTTTTAAGAGAGACTGGGCCATGAATCATGATAGCCCACGAGAGGATAGCATTGAGATGCTCTGCCTACCTCTGGGGTGTGGCAACCATGGAAAAGTAAAATGAGACGAGACATCAGAGTGAATAGTGGAGGATGGTGTTAAAACTTAAAAGTGACATGAGTCAAAATTATACGCTTAAGTGCCAGCTGGGTTTGTCATTAACGAAGTCCGGAGAGATAGTTCATAGTAGTCCTGGAAATATTAACCTTTTATTCGGGCACATAGGACAAGCACTGGTGCTTGATTTGCAAATAATGTGAAGGTGTTCGTTTAAGCCGCAGTCAGTGACCCGTGATGAGGTAAACTGCAGTTTTGTAATTTTGTCTGTTGTTGCTGAGTGTTGATGTTTTTGATGATGTTGTCGTGCATGTGTCAGTTTGGAATACAAGAGATCTGAGCCAAGTAATCTGAGCAAAGTAACCTGAACCACTTAACTGGCTAGTACCCGAAGTGGTCTTACCATTTACCAACGAGGAGGATACCTTGACTTCTTCCTTTACTGGGCAAGTAAGCATTGAGCTACTAGTTCACTAATGGTATTGGGACAGCTGCAATGACACGGTTTACTTGTCTTTGTGAGTAGTGAGCTACTAGTTCACTAATGGTATTGGGACAGCTGCAATGACACGGTTTACTTGTCTTTTTGAGTAGTGAGCTACTAGTTCACTTATGATATTTTGACAACTTGGTAATATTGACCCCAGGCAAAGACCTGCAACATATTCGCCCCATTCACCCAGCCTCATAACATGGCCAAGTCAACTGGGGATCTTACCCTTTTTAATTGAGTGGGCTTACCTCAACTAATGGTATTGTAGTAGCGAATATCCTGTTGAAAAGTGATCTGTATGCAGGATTCTAGGATTAGAAAAGCAATGGTCATAGTATGCCTTTGTGGTCTTGGTGGTTCAACAGTTGTTGTTATTTTATAGCTTGCGGCTGGCGGCAGGAACCATTTTATTAAAAATTTAAAAACAAAATCCAGCAAATTTTCAGGCCAAACATCGAGATCTGAGCCAAGTAATCTGAGCAAAGTAACTTGAACCACTTTATTGGCTAGTGCCCGAAGTGGTCTTACCAACGAGGAGGATACTTCGACTTCTTCTACCTTATGGGGTTGTTCACATATTATTACGTAATCATTTTTTAGAACATTTTCACCTCCCCCTCCGTAATCAGTTTTACACATAGCTATTGTGTCAAAATTACACTAGCGTAATCATTCGAAACCCCCCCCCCCCCCCCCCTCAGCTGATTATGTAATATGTGAACGACCCCTTAGTGTGACAGACATAGTGGATAAGTTCTTACTACCAAGGATTATCGCCTTTATACAAGCAACAAAACGATTCACCAAATTCGGAGAAAACGAAGTTTAACGTTTTTCTCCACTTATTAATATTTTACCGGGGTAAGCACAGAGCTCCAATGCTCTAAATTACAGTGGTCATGATCTATCTCATAGTAATAATGACCACAGTCCCCTGCGAAGAAGGAGAACCTGAAAATTCGATTGTTGGGTTCAGTTGTCGTAATTCCGATTTCAGTGCAGTTGTGATATGACCTGAGTTCAGTTGTCGTTTTGGGATTTAAGCTGATTGATCACCCAATTAAGCTGATTGGGTACCTGTTAACTGCGTGGGAACTAGGTTAAATTGGGTTCAGTTGTCGGTCACCCTCAGTTAACCAAGTTTCCTTGGCCAGCTCATCTGCTTTTTGTTCCCCCACAATCTGATGTGTGCTGCAATCCATCGTATCTCTAGCGTGTCGGTGGATCCGAGTGCATTAAGAGAGTCGTAACAGTCTCTTGTAGTTCTACTCCGCTTCGAGGTACACGGTTTTCATGCTTCCATGACTACAATTATACTGAATATACACACGTGCCTATCTGACTGAAGAAGGCTGGAGGCTCCAGCAATCTGACTAAACGGTTATATTAACATACCAGTACCATCAGACTGATTACTAAGGAAGGAGCATAATCGGCTATTGCATCATAAATATGGAGCATTGAACTCTGGTTTCCTCGGTTATTATCCTTGGAGACATCTTGGGACCATTACCTCTTCGTATATATTTGCTAGGGTCATTATAGGAAACAATAGAATCACGCGATTCTGTCACTCTCCAGGAGAGGGATACTGCAGAACCTTCCACTGGTTCCATAGGTTCATTTCTGTATACGTGTATAGTAGGAAAGTGTTAAATTGTTCTCTTCTTTGGCGTTCTTTTGTTTCTGACTTGATGATAATTTTATAAATCTTAAAACTTTATCTCCCTAGAATGTTTCTTAATCAGAGAAGATTATTGCTCCTTGCCAGCCTGGTTTACATCGCAAATACAGGTAATAATAGTCACTCATCCTAATTATCTCACATATCCCACTGATTAGTTATTTGAGCAATTAAATCAGATAAAACTTAAACTTTTGGAAAAACACTAATCACAATCTAATATTAAAAACATTATGATAGTACTGATGATTAATAAATCTGCAGGCTGTTTACAGGAGAACACAGACTTTTATTCGTTCGATATAGCAGCTCTGTTACGTATACACCCAACGTCAAAGCATGTATTCAGCATTGCTATGAGACAATGAATTGCAAAGCATTCACTTTTCTTGTCGAGCATAGCAATTGCCACCCAAAATCGATACCATTCGATAAAGAGGATAGCGATATAAGGCCATATACAAATGCGCTCAGTGGAAATATCGAGGAATGCTTAGGTACACATTACTACTTTTGTTTTCTTGCAACAATTTATTATCGAAGAATATTTAGTATTTACAATCAGGCAGAATAACTGTATTTCATTGCTGGCAAGGATAAAATATAATTCCACATATATAAGTAAGAAAATTGAGTTAAAGTCAAACATTTTCAACAGGATTGGTACTGGTAGCAATAAAAGCGGTTAAGGCATCACAGGAATCAACTTTTAATGGGTATATAGCAGAAAACTGCATAGATGGAAACGTAAACAGCTTTTGCCATGGAGATAATGGAAAAGAAGTTTGGTTTGAGATGACGTTTGAGCAGATCTTCTGTATTGATACAGTTAAAATAGTCGCTCATAAGACAGATGGTGCTCAGCATCGTATGGATAAAGGAAACATCTTAGTGGTGAACTCCTCCACTGGTAAACAGACTCAGTGTGGTGTGTTGCGGACAAGAGATGGTGAAGACCGGAACTATGATATTGAGTGCGGAAAATATGTGTGTGGGAACAGGGTTAAACTCAGTGTTATTCGGGCCGAGAATGAGTCTGAAGGAATGATCGCTATGAAAGAAATGACTGCTTACTATTCAACCGGTAACTGAAAATAATGTGACCTGCTGAACTTTTTACATTTAAAATTCATTTTTACCAAGAATAGATAAGATACAATAATATAATAGATACGGTTTAAATATTATTAAAATTGTGAGATGTATAATATTTCAGAATGTAAGTCTGTCTGGGATGACTTCTCAACAGACCCTGCTTTACCAGTAGCTGATAACACTGTTC